GGGAGCGAGACCGGATGCTCGACGGGATGAAGCCGTGGAAATAGCTTTGGGAAACTGCGCTGGGAGGGAGCGAGACCGGATGCTCGACGGGATGAAGCCGTGGAAATAGCTTGGAGAAACTTCGCTGGGAGGAAGCGAGACCGGATGCTCGACGGGATGAAGCCGTGGAAATAGCTTGGGGAAACTGCGCTGGGAGGGAGCGAGACCGGATGCTCGACGGGATGAAGCCGTGGAAAATAGATTGGGGAAATAGCTTGGGGAAACTTCGCTGGGAGGGAGCGAGACCGGATGCTCGACGGGATGAAGCCGTGGAAATAGCTTGGGGGAACTGCGCTGGGAGGGAGCGAGACCGGATGCTGGACGGGATGAAGCCGTGGAAATAGCTTGGGGAAATTTCGCTGGGACTTTGCGTGATGTAGAGAACGGATGAGGGAAGGGAGGATATAGAAGTGGTTCTGCGTGTTTTCGGAAAAGAGAGGGGGGAAAAGGCAAAAGGGACAGGAGCGAGAAAGGAGGGATCGGAAGGGTATTGAAGCAGTGGAGGAAATAGCTTGGGGAAAACTTCGCTGGGAGGGAGCGAGTCCGGATGCTCGACGGGATGAAGCCGTGTAAATAGCTTGGGGAAATAGCTTGGGGAAACTTCGCTGGGAGGGAGCGAGACCGGATGCTCGACGGGATGAAGCCGTGGAAATAGCTTGGGGAACTTCGCTGGGAGGGAGCGAGACCGGATGCTGGACGGGATGAAGCCGTGGAAATAGCTTGGGGAAACTTCGCTGGGAAGGAGCGAGACCGGATGCTGGACGGGATGAAGACGTGGAAATAGCTTGGGGAAACTTCGCTGGGAGGGAGCGAGACCGGATGCTGGACGGGATGAAGCGTGGAAATAGCTTGGGGAAACTTCGCTGGGAGGGAGCGAGACCGGATGCTGGACGGGATGAAGCCGTGGAAATAGCTTGGGGAAACTTCGCTGGGAGGGAGCGAGACCGATGCTGGACGGGATGAAGTCGTGGAAATAGCTTGGGGAAACTTCGCTGGGAGGGAGCGAGACAGTATGCTGGACGGGAAACCGTGGAAAATAGCTTGGGGAAACTTCGCTGGGAGGGAGCGAGACCGGATGCTGGACGGGACAAAACCGTGGAAATAGCTTCGGGAAACTGCGCGGGGAGGGAGCGAGACAGCATGCTGGACGGGACAAAACCGTGGAAAATAGCTTGGGGAAACTGCGCTGGATGGGAGCGAGACAGCATGCTGGACGGAAAGCTGTGCTGGGAGGAAGCGCGACAGCATGCTGGACGGGACAAAACCGTGGAAATAGCTTGGGGAAACTTCGGTGGGAGGGAGCGAGACAGCATGCTGGACGGAGAAGAAAGCGTGCAAATAGCTTGCGGAAAGTTGCGCTTGAAGGGAGCGAGACAGCATGCTGGACGGGATGATGCCGTGGAAATAGCTTGAGGAAACTTCGCTGGGAGGGAGCAAGACAGCATGCTGCACGGAGACGAAAACTGTGGAAATAGCTTGCGGAGAGCTTTGCTGGGAGGAAGCGCGAGAGGATGAGACAGCATGCTGGACGGAGAGGAAACCGTGCAAATAGCTTGCGGGGAGCTTCGCTGGAAGGGAACGAGACAACTGGACGGATGGGAAACCGTGGAAATAGTTTCGGAGAGCTTCGCTGGGAGGAAGCGAGATAGCATGCTGGACGGAGAGGAAACCGTCCAAATAGCTTGCGGAGAGCTTCGCTGGGAGGGAAACCGTGAAAATAGCTTGCGGAGAGCTCCACTGGGAGGGAGCGAGACAGCATGCTGGACGGAGAGAAAACCGTGGAAATAGCTTGGGGAAAGTCCGCTGGGAGGGAGCGAGACAGCATGTTGGACGGAGAAGAAACCGCGCAAATAGGTTGCGGAGAGCTTCACTGGGAGGGAGGGAGACAGCATGCTGCACGGAGGAAAGTGTGAAAATAGCTTGCGGAGAGTTTCGCTGGGAGGGAGCGAGATAACATGCTGGACGGATAGGAAACCGTGGAAATAGCTTGCTGAGCTGGGAGGGAGCGAGACAGCTTGCGGAAAGCTTCGCTGGGAGGGAGCGAGACAGCATGCTGGACGGAGAGAAAACCGTGCAAATAGTTTGCGGAAAGCTTTGCTGGGAGGGAGCGAGACAGCATCCTGGACGGAGAGGAAACCGTGGAAATAGGTTAAGGAGAGCTTCGCTGGGAGGGAGCGAGACAGCATGCTGGACGGAGAGGAAACCGTGCAAATAGGTTGCGGAGAGCTTCGCCGGGAGGAAGCGAGATAGCATGCTGGACGGAGAGGAAACCGTGCAAATAGCTTGCGGAGAGCTTCGCTGGGCGGGAGCGAGACAGCGTGCTGGACGGAGAGGAAACCGTGCAAATAGGTTGCGGAGAGCGTCGCTGGGAGGGAGGGAGACAGCATGCTGGATGGACAGGAAACCGTGGAAATAGCTAGCGGAGAGCTTCGCTGGAAGGGAGCGAGACAGCGTGCTGGACGGAGAGGAAACCGTGGAAATAGCTTGCGGAGAGCCTTGCTGGGAGGGAGCGAGACAGCATGCTGGACGGGACAAAACCGTGGAAATAGCTTGCGGAGAGCTTCGCTGGAGGGAGCGAGACAACATGCTGGACGGATAGGAAACCTTGAAAATAGTTTGCGGCAGAGCTGTTGGCACGGGTTTTTTCAGGACAAATGCCATCATTGCGATTGGCCTGAAAAAATTGTGGACCCAAGACTGGTCAAATGGTCCCAAGACCGGTCAAACGGTTTGCAAAGGCTGAAAAATGGGACATGCACAGAGAAGCTTTTACACAAAAAAAGCCTTTACACAGAAACTTTGACACACAGACGCGTTTACAGAGACACAGAGGAGTCTTGACACAGAAGCCTTTACGCACAGAAGCTTTTTTGCACAGAGTAGCTTTTACACACAGAAGTCTTTACACAGAGAAGTCTTGAGACAGAGAAGCCTGTACACACAAAGGCTTTTACAGAGAGAAGCCTTTCGCACAAAGAAGTCTTGACACAGAGGAGCTTTTACGAGAGAAGTCCTTACACAAACGAGATTTACACGCAGAAGGTGTTACAGATAGACGTTCTTTCGGCGCACAGAAACTTTAACACAGAGCAGCTTGTACACACAGAAGCTTTTACACAAAAAAGCCTTTACACAGAGAAGTTTTTCACACAGGAGCTTTTGCACAAGAAAACTTTTACACAGGAAAGCTTTTACACACAGAAACTTTCACACACAGAAGCTTTGTACACAGAGAAGTCTTTGCACAGAGGAGCTTTTGCACACAGAATCTTGTACACACAGACGCTTTCACACACACACAGGAGGTTTTACAAACAGACAACTTTACGGCGCACAGATTTTTTACACAGAGCAGCTTTTACGCAGCGAAGCTTGTACACACAGGGGGCTTTTTTACACAGAAGCTTTTACATAAGGTTTTTTTTAATACACAGAAGCTTTTACACACAGAAACCTTTACACACAGAAGCTTTTACACACAGAAACTTTTACACACAGAAGGTTTTACACACAGAAGCTTTTAACACAAAAAACCTTTAAACAAAGGAGCTTTTACACACAGACGGGTTTACACAGAGAAGTCTTTACACACGGAGGCGTTTACACAGGAAAGAGTTTACACGGAAGCGTTTACACAGAGTAGTTTTTACACAGAGAAATCTTTACACAAAGAAGTCTTGACACAGAGAAGCTTGCACACACAGAGGCTTTTACACACAGAAGCCTTTTACACAGAGCGGCTTTTTCACAGAGGAGCTTTTACACAGAGGAACTTTTACACAGAGAAGCTTGTACACTCAGAGGCTTTGACACAGAGAAGTCTTTTACACAGAGAAGCTTTTGCACACAGAAGCTTTACACAAACAAAACCTTAACACAGAGGAAGCTTTTACAGACAGAAGCTGGTACGCAAAGAAACTTTCGCAAACAGAAACTTTTACACACAGAGCGCGTTTTACACAGAAGATTTTACACACAAGAGCTTTTACACCAAAAACCTTTACACAGAGAAGTTCTTGCCCACAGAAGCTTTTACTTGCAGAAGCTTTTATGCAAAGAAGCTTTTGTACAGAGAAGTCTTTACCCATCTTTTATCATGTCTCATTTTTCATGATCATTTGCCATCTGTCACCTTCATATATATCTTCGTTTTCATGCTCTTTTGGTCAGCTCCCTCTGTCGTTTAATTTTCATTTCGTTCTGTCCGTCCACGCTTCGTGCTCGCTCCCTCTGCGGCGAAGCAAACTAAACGAGAACGCAGAAATAGATAGCGACTAGACAGATGGGATAGAGTTAATTACATTAACAGAAATAGCGACTAGAAGACTGTAGGCGTAGCTGACACAGCATGCTGTGGTGAATCGTGGCCCCTGATACCATCAGTGCGCACGATGTTTAAGTAAAGATCTTACGTCGATTTCGTGCAGAGCACAGCTGGCCACACCCCAAGATTTTCAAGAAAAGGCGTGCTGTGTGCCGTCTTGCTTTTGGGTTCTCTGGCCCACCTTGTTTTTCAAGATTTGGGACGTGATGTAAACTAGGCAGCTATTGGGATAATTATAGGATAATTGGTGTGTAATTGTGGGATGATTATGGGATACTCACAATAGTCACCATCTCCAATACAGGGTCTATGAAATTGGCTACACATCTATTTTGGATGAGATAGCCTGGCATCCTCTATGGTTGGCGACTGCGATTCGTTTGGTGGTTTACCACATTTTACCCAATATGACGGAGAAATGACGAGGGATTATCGTCAGAGGGTATCTCCGGGTTGATCGACCGGTTGCCGGTTTCCAGAGAAATCCCCTTGAGTCAATGCAGGTTTCAGTGGGAAAATCATTTATTCATGGGGGATTTCGAATTGCCAATGTGGGATTGGAAGGTAAAGAATTATGGCTTGCATCCCGCTGGGTGGATCACTCCGAGCAACGGCGCGCCGTTTTTGCGGTCCCATTTAACCAACAGAACCAGCGATCATCCGAGGTTTTGAGGGTAAGAATGTGCCAAGTCATAGCTCAGTTATATGATATGATATTCACAAGGTGAAGAAATGGGTCATTTTACCAAGCTTTTTGTGTTTTCCAACATTTCCATCCCTTGTACCTGGGTTGTAGCAACTTACTTCATGCATCTTCATGCCTTGGATGTAGTGGTAATCGGACATCCATACTATGCCGCCATATTTTGATAATTCCCACTTTTCTGATGATCGAGCAGTGCTCGAGACCCCGATGAACAGTTTGGGGATGGGGATTATACTACCGATATATTGGGGATGATCATCATCCAAGAACGGAGAATCCCAGGAATCCCGTTCTTAACCAACCTGTCCGGTACCTCTCGTGTCGCCAGAGTGGCTTCAGCAGCAGCAAGATGCGCGGGTGGTTCGAGTCGCTTGACGTACCCGCAACGGGACGTCCGGAGACGGGCCGATTTTTGGGGCAGGAACCTGAAAAAGCTATGGGTTTAACGGTTCAACCATGTCACCTGACAAAATGGACAAAAAATAGGGATTGAAATGGTTTGACCACCAAAAAATATGGATTTGAATGGGACTTAATGGTGATATATTGGGAGTTAGTGGTGATTTTTCATGATGATATTGTGATTTGATGGGGATATACAGTCCGGTGTCATCAAACGTGGCTGGCCAATCCCTGAACTAAGTGGAGGTCTTTAATGGGAAATTTATCTATAGACGGTGGAATTTCCATTTCTATGTTTGATTATCAGAGGGTATCTCAAAGGCTTACTATATCTTACTATCACATACTGTATACATTATAGAACATATGTTGCAATATATATATATATATATGTATCTACGGCCCCGGTAGTTAAGATGCATAACGTACTGTTTTGTTTCCTCAGTGTTCAGTTCAAGCTGTAGATGATTTGTACCCTTTGCCATACTTTCGTTGGTAGTCCCTGTGCAGTGTGTCGCACATACTCTCGAATAGGGTACCTCATTGGCGTGCAGCGGCTGGGTGCTGAACAAGAAGCCCGAGCTCTCCAGGTGCTGCGGGATTGCTGCGGTGCTGTCACTGACCTCGTGGAGACCAAGATCCGCGCTGCGCCGCCGAGTGCCGCTGCCAACGAGGGTGGAAACCCTTTGAGCGAGGGCAAGGGCCCTTTGACAAAGGAGGAGGAAGAAGACCAGGAGGAAGAAGACCAGGAGGAAAAGACCAGGGAGGACAAAAAGAAGCCCCTTAGCGTCAAGGAAGAGGTCAAGACCGAGAAAGATAAGAAAAAGAGGAAGAAAAAGACTGAGGCCGAGGCGGGAGTAGAGGAGACTCCTGAGAAGAGTGGAAGCGCCAAGATCAAAAAGACAAAGGAGGAACATCGAGAAGGAGAACTCGGAGGCGGAGGTGCAAGCTCAGGATCAAGAGGTCCAGCTGTTGGAGAAGAGGCCGAGGAGCTTCAGGAGAGGATCGACTCCTTTGCGTGCAGCAACCCGGGTCCCTTTGAACTTGGCACTTTGCCAGTCCGAGGGAGTGTGGGCAGACACTTTGCAGAGTCGGAAGAAGATAGGAGGAGGTCAACCCGGCCGGCTGAGCCTGTAGGGCCACCCCCTGGTAGACACGACGAGCCTCCACGGAGGCAGCCCTCTGGGGAACGGAGGGGAAAGAAGAACAAAGGGCAGACTCACCGCGACAGAGGCCGTGAGTGGAGGAGGCGCCATTGGTCGTAGCCATGGCTCCGAAGGCAAAGCCCAAAGCAAAGGCGAAGGGAGGGGCCAAAGCATTGGCCAAGGTAAAAGCCAGAGTTCGCCCCCCTGGCGGGTTGAGGAGACCTGCACATCGGGGGGGGGGAACCAGGAAGAGAGGAGACAGAAGAGAAGTGGAGAAAGGGGGAAGAGATCCCAGCTTGGAAGGCGCCCTTGTTGGAGCTGGGACGAGGAGTCCGGGTGGTGTGCACAAAGGCCTTATACTACCACCAGGAGTGCAAGGTAGCGGGGGCCATCACTGGGCTGGAAGTTCAGGGGGGCGAGACGGTCCTCCTGCTACAGCTGCGTGGGACCACCCACGAGGGACTTCTCAAACTGCACAGCTCTGGGCCCCTACAGGAGTTCAGGCTTCATCTGTGCCCTCCAGGCTGCAACCAGGAGGAGGTGTCGGATTTCCTCATCCATGCCCTGCAGAGCAGGAGGAGGCAGCAGAGGAAGGATGGGCTACCAACCTTCAGAAGGTGCAACCTGCAGAGGGGACCGACGATTTGGCGGGGCTCCGAGAGAGGCAACAGAAGCTAGGAGTAGAGGCAGAGAGACCTGCTGTGGAGAAGAAAGAGAAATCAAAGAAGACAAAAAGAAAAGAAAAGAAGGAGAAAAAGGAGAAGAGAGAGAAGAAGGAAAGGCTAGGTTTGGCCGTGGAGAGCAGCGGGTCATCGGAGGAGGTGGCTCTCGACGGGAGCCGTGCCCGCCTGGCAGCCAGGAAATCCCTGATAGCCCTTTTTGCGGGGACTGGCCTCGATCCCAAGGAGAAGATCAGGCGCCGGGTATCCCAGAAGGCACGACGCGCAGTCAAGAAGCGAGGAAAGAGGAGCTCAGACAGCAGCTCAGGAGGAAGCAGCGGGTCGACAGAGGATATGGGGCCCGAAGCCGGAGAAGAAGGAGTTTTTCAGCAGGAGTCGAAGGTGAGACTGGTGGCAGCGTCCCAACCGGGAGCCCTAGCTCCTCAGGCTTTGACGCACATGAGAGGACTTCTCCTCTCCGAGATTGGCCACAACGACCAACCAGGCCTCTTGAAGGCGTGTGCAGTAGCCTATTACAGACAGTGCCTTCAACGCCGGAGCACTGGCCCAGCTCAAAGAGAGCTCCTGACAATTTGCTCGGCGGTGGACGCAGCCATGAGTGGGAACGTGGCAGGATGCCTGGACATCCTGCTACAAAGGTTGAAGTCAGCGGAAAGCACTTTGTCGGGAACGCACTGGTCGGTCAGCCAACGACTGGAAATCTTGCCCCAAGACCAGGCAAGTTTGACCCCTCTCCAAGAGATGTCAAGTGCAAGAAAGGACGTCTACGAGGAGTCTCGTCTGAAGTGGCTCGCGAGCCAGCCGGACGGTCGCACTGGAGGGGGAGGATCGAAGGGAAGTGGCAAGACCAAATCAGACAGCAAGGATGGAGCCAAAGGAGGAGATCGAGGTCGCAGATTCGGCAAAGGGACCCCTTTGAAGGGCGAGGGGAACAAGAAAGGGAAGGAGGACGGCGCCCCGAAAGCTTGAGAGAGGGGCTGCAGAAAGAGACGAGGGTGGACACCCTTGATACCACTATGAAGGATCAGGCAACTCCAGCAAGTGGGGCTTATGAAGAGGGGTCGGCATTGGCCCTCTGCCCTGGTAGTTACCCCCTGCCTGATCCTGCTGCGCTAGCAGACGCTATGGTGGCCGCAGATGAGGCGTGGCAATCATTGCATGCGGCTGCCTCGAAGTTGGGCGTCGAGAATTTGAATGCCAAGTCGCGGGACGATGGCGCCTGCGCTGCTGCTGCGGACGGCATAGCCCTTGAACTAACGGCTGATGCTTTTTCGTCCGAGATGAAAAAAGACGCTGATGATTTTCCGAAGGGAAAGTTTTTAGGGGACTGTGGTGACTTCCTATGCGCTAGGCTCCTTGAGGTTTTATCACTTCGCAGCCAGCCCATGGGTAAAGGGGATAAGAAGGCAATTTTCCCTTTACCTACCTCTAGGAGTGAGCTCGGAAAAGTTTTTCCCACAGTGTGTGAACGCGATTTGTCATGGTTGCTCTGTGTTGTACGGAGTTTGAACTCTATGTGGGGGGGTTGCCTTGAGAGTCATCAACCTGTGAAAGATTGTCAAAAGGAGTGTTTGAAATTTATTTTCGATGATGTGAGACGGTTCTGCTCTTTGGACGCGCATCTGGAGATTCTGGATTGGTCGGAGTTTTTCAAGGTCAGGTCAATAGACTACAATGGAGATGAAGTCAAGGTGGCTCAGTCGTTTTCTTGGAAAAACATCAGCCCTGCACTGCCGCGAGAGATAGGGCGAGTCCCTCTCTCTGAGGTGTGCACACAGGGTTCTAGACACTATGTCACTAACTTCGACCTCTATCTTAAACCCCCTTCTGAATGGAAGCTGGTGAAACCCCCAAGAGTGATGGTCCGGGATGAGCACTGGGCTGCAGTATGCCGGGGTTTGCTGGATTGCGGGATATGCACTTTGCTGGAAGAGAGTGAAGTTTTCGATACGGGCCAGGGCCCGTTGTTGAACGGGCTGTTCGGAGTGAGTAAAGAGGATTGGACAAGTGATGGGACTGAGATCCTGCGTCTCATAATGAATCTTATCCCTTTAAATTCACTGTGTATGCCCATGGCCGGTGACATTGATACGTTACCGTCATGGTCAGGCATGTCACCGTTTTTCCTGCAGCCCTCTCAGCAACTCCTGATCAGTAGCGAGGACGTAAAGTGTTTCTTTTATACACTTGCTGTTCCTCGGTGTTGGGTCAAATTTCTTGCTTTTAACAAAGAGGTTCCGGAAAGTGTTCTGCCGGCGGACTTGAAGGGACGCACAGTGTACCTCGCGGCGCAGGTGCTCCCAATGGGGTTCCTTAACTCCGTTAGTCTGGCCCAACATGTTCATAGGAACCTGGTCTTGAACTCAGGGAGTGAAGCAGAGAGTCGGGAGGTCAACCCTCCTGAGGCCGAACACCGGAAGGATCGCAGCTTTACCACGTCCACCAACTCTTGGCGAGTGTACTTGGACAACTACGACCTCTTGGAGAAGGTGGAAGCTACACAAATGGTCGATGCCACGGGCTCCCTGGCTCCCGGAGTGCTTGCTTTGAGGCAGGAATACGAAAAATGGGAAGTGCCAAGGAATGAGAAGTAGTCCGTTGCCCGGTCGGTCAAGGCGGAGGTGCAAGGCGTAACTGTTGATGGTATCCAGGGTGTTGCTTACCCTAGGGAGAGCAAGCTGGTGAAATACTTCAGCTTGGCGCTGAGCCTTTGTGGTCAGAAGTTTGCGACTCAGAAACAGTGGCAGGTTGTTTGCGGTGGCTTGGTGTACTTTTCAATGTTCAGGCGACCCTTGCTGGGTAGCCTGAACTCAGTTTGGAGCCACATTGAGTCTTACAATTCGGGAGTTCACAAGTGGAAGCCCACGCCGCCGGAGTGCCGGCTGGAGGTCCTGCGGTTTTTGGGGCTGTTGCCTTTAGCCCGTATGGATTTCAGGCTGGGTGTGAACCCCTATGTGACCTGCAGTGATGCATCTTCCACGGGAGGTGGGCTGTGCGTGAGCCGGTCACTTACTCCTTTTGGGAAGGTTGTTTCTCAGGGATGCCTGCGAGGTGAAATTCCAGAGAACCGGGTCGACGCTATGGTGCTGACAGTGGGTCTCTTCGATGGTCTGGGAGCTCTGAGGGTCGCTGCTGACGT